TGCCACGTCATCACCCCCTACCACTTTGTCGTCTCCGCCAGTGTTAGCATTCGGTTATTGAACGTATTTCAATACGACTGAACAATCTTCTCGTTCAGTCAAAATCTTCCTATTGAAAGTTTTTTTAACTATCCATGTTATCGTTAAGTAAAAAAAATTATTTTACTTGCTGGCGCAGTAAGTCGTTAAAAATCATGCTGCGCAATTCCCATTTGCGCAATTATGTTGCGGATGAAAACGCAGCTACTGACGCCCATTTGTTGTCGACGCTTAAAGATGCCTCCCTTATTTAGTGATGTACATGCTGTGCTTTTACCCACAGATGTTCTGTCGGACCCAGTGGCCCTCCCCCGAGGAGTACAGCCAGCTGGAGCTCCAGACGAAACTGGGCCGCACCGACATCGTCCGCTGGTTCAAGGATCACCGCTCGGCCCTGAAGAACGGCGACACCCTGGACTGGATGGACGCCGTCCAGAAGCAAAGCCTCGCTGAGGAACACAACGCGGGCCAGCACCAGAACGGCCAGATCTCCGACGACAACCAGGCTGTTTCCTTGGAAGTCAAGGCTCTGAATGGTGAGTCCCGCCGGAGGACATCCTGTTCTCTGTTTGATTCATTATTGCTCCTCCAGTCTGAGGCTCTAAAAATTTAATCTTGTTGATCCTAGTGGAGGAGTCTGATGGGAATGTAGCAGCTGTGGAGGACTCCAAACTGCCCGGCCACGACAAAGGGCGCCGGCTGGCCGAGCGACTAGCGCAGGGCGTGAACGATCTGAGCCGAACCGGGCTGGACCAGAACAGCTGCGGCGCATCCGACAAAGGAAGGTAAGAAAAACATTGGTTTCATACTGGAGAAAAATATCTTGACCCACATTTGGTTGCATAAAAAACAGGCAGATCAGGTAATTCTTCATAGACATTGTGAACCATCATTTCTTCAGCCTGAATTTATTCTTCATGTCAATAAAATATAATAATGCACAGATTAAATTAAGTTTTTTTTTTTTTTTTTCATGTATTTTTTTTTCCAGATGGGTCAAGGTCACTGTTGCTGCTGGAGACAAGACAGAAGCAGCGGAGAGACAGAGACTGGCCACCGACACTGGTGTTATGACTGTGGAGCAACCAGGAAGAGTGACCGGGTGACGGTAGGTTCAGCCATAGATCTGTGTTTTGAGCAAAAACAAAAAAAAAGGTATGCAATTATGAACTGGAAGCGAAATGATACGTGGTTTTACAAATAAAAATCTGAAAAGTGTGGGGTGCATTTGTTTTCCATCCTAACCCCTGCACAGAGTAGCTGGATTAACAATGACATTAAATTACATCCAAGTCTGTTTTGTTAACTGAGTTTTATTTATTCAATTCGATTCAGAAATACTTTATTGATGCCAAAGGCAAACTAAATGTTTGTTTTCAATCAAATGATGTTTTTCAAAGAGTTATTGTGCATGATGATGGCTATGGGCAGGAAGGATGTCCTGTAGCAGTTTGTACTGCAGAGACTTCAGAGCTTCTGCACTCAGCTCCTGCAGACTAGCCAGCAGCAATTAGCAAACACCTGGCGGAGCTGCACGCCTGCTCTATAGGCGCTACTTCTCAGTGCCACGCTGACAGAAACATTGTTAAAGGGTTAATAAGAGGAGCCGTGTTGTGACGACTTTCGGAACGTGACAGAGCAGGAGTTTTTAAAGAGACAGAAGCCCAATTTCAAGTTGTTAAATTACAAAGTCATATTTGATATATATATAAATTTTTTCTAACAACTGAGGGAAAAATAGCTACTAGAAAGTGCTATAAAATGGGACTACATATAAAACACATAATACCGCCCCTTAAATGTCTGGAAATTTGAACATAATAGATCTAATCGACCAGTAAGTCTAAGTTTGTTTCACTTTTTAAACCAAACTTTTGGTTTTCTGCATTAGTCTGCAGCCCTCAGAATCAGTTACTGCTGATGCCGCTGCTGCTGCATTGCCAAGCTTTTCCCTCTGTGGATGCTGGGAGACGTTCCAGCCCTCTGTGACTCCTGACGGGGCGAACTGCAGAGAATAAAGGGGTGGCAGGAACAGATTGTGACTTGGCTGAAATTAAATGGTGAACTGTTCCTTTAAGAGGGCACAGCTGCGCTTCAGCAGCCGTCCAGGAAGTTGGTGGTGTGTAATTACGTCTGATTGGTCCTTCAAAAAGATGGCATGCACCGCCATTAGCATCAAATGTGCAGACAAAAGCAGATAATTATGGTCACGTAAGGGCAAAGAGAAGGTTTGTTTATGTAAATAAGAGTGTGACGGATAAAATTAAAAAATAAATCTCCAAAAAGAGAGCAAGACTTCTTAACGGTTATCAGAAAGACATTGGCCAATATCATAAATATGACGCTCTTTCTCTCCTAGGAAAGGCAAATCTTTAAATGCTGATTCTCCAGCCATCCTGGGGCAAGTCAAGACGACCAATCAGAGATGCAGTATGTCTGTGACGTCATCACAAAGCGCCAGGGACGATTTCAGCACTGAGGTGAAGAACGCACGCCGACATGGAGAGGAGTGCCAAAGCTGGACTTGATGCAGAACTCCCACCACTACTTTGTTTTCTTTTTTGTAACATTTCTGTAAATATTCTTGTCATACAGAGTAAGCGGTCTGTTCAGGTGCAGAGCGGCAAGCTTTTCTTTTCGTTTTTATTTTCAAGATGAATGAATGTCGCCCCAAAACCTGGAATGTTTTTGGTTGCTGTAATAAGAACAAAAATGTATTATAGTCTATTTGCTGGAAATCTCCTTTTTTTAAGAAGAAAAAAAAAACTAGCTGCATTTTGCTCATTACGAGTAGATTTTGATGGCACTTGCATATTTTTCTTGTCGTAGTGGTAGATTTCCGTATCAGGCTGCTTTTCAAATGCCTTTACGGTGATACAATGCTGACTCAGATGTGCAAAACCGGCGAAAAGGAGGAGTGTGCAGCTGAGGGAACAAACTGCAGTGAGCACACATACACACACTGATTAGCAGCAGTGGTGCAAATACTTTAACAAAGAAAAAGAAAATATCCGCAGCTTGTTTAAGCAGTTAGTTTTTTTTTTTTTTTTTCAGGCGTGTTCTCGAAGCTGATGCGGAGCATGATGTGCACATTTCTACAGAGAACTGATAAATCCCGGAGAATGCAGGGTCTGTTGGACACCATGCTGCCTTTCCAGCTCATACCTGTTCTTTCCTGTATACTTTAAGAAAAAAAAAAAAAGGGAGCAGAGTGGAGCAGCTTCACAGTTCTGTGTTGTAAATCTTCTCGGCCAAACTTGCCAAAAGCCTTTTTTTTTTTCTTTTTTTTTTTTGTTTTGTGTTTTAATTTTGTGAAAATGCTACATGCACTCTAAATAACCTGAGCACCTTTATCTGAGCCTTCTCACATATTTCCATTCGTTTAGCTGTAAATACGTCTCGCCTGTTATCTAGGCTTCCTCGCTTTAGGGTCAAGGTGGGATTAATTCCCCTCTTCATTTCCACACACGCTCAGAACGGAGGCCGCCGAACGTCGGAGACACAGAAACGGAGCAGCAAGAGGCGGCTGGAATGTCACGGCAGTCGAAAGCTGTCGCAAAGTTTCGGGCGTTTTTCTCTTTTTAAACTCATCTTGGAGAGTGTCGTTTAAATTGACCTCTTTATTGCTACACGAATGAAATCTGTGTTGTTTTTTTTTCTTTCTTTCAATCGCAGAAGGAGGGAGGAGAGCTGTAATTTAGCATCAGCAGGTGTATGACTGTATGCTTGACTGCATGTTGGTTCCTGCTGCTTTGGGTTCACGGCCTCAAATAACTCAACATCTTGTTTCTGACGTGTACAGGATTACTGCTTGCATTCTCATTTTCTACCTTTTAAGTCTGATGCAATTCAATAAAAACACAGTTGACTGCAAAATGCCATGGAGAATATTTTTTTTGTCCAAGTTCAGAAGGATTTAAATTGCTAGACATTTGAATTCATTGTGATTATTTTCTGCCAGCAGCGACACAGTGCTTTGGAGAAGTCTTTAAACACTTTTTCATTTTTTTTCTAACCTCATGAGATCGATTAAAAATGCTTGCCGCACTTTTCAGATATGAATTGGGATCTCGAGGTAACGGCTTCAAGTTAAACCTGAATTTCAACGTGGCGATAAATGGAGGCATTGTTCATAGTAACTCTTAGAAAGATTTTAAGTTTCACTTTTAATGAGCAGACAGTTCAATCTTATAGCGGTCCAACCAGCAGTGGAGATTGAGCCGCTACATATGAGATTGATTCTAGCTGCACTTTCACATGCATGTCTTGTAAAATGTTTCCACCAAGTTTTACTACTGCAGAGCGGCCATATTGGAACATGAAGTCGGCCTTACGAGTCGTAACTGGGGGTAAACCAGTTTCAACCCATAAAATAAGAAATGTAATGCGAATAAATCCATAATTGTTTAGACTGAACGTGCACACCAAAGGAAAATGTTGGATTAGACTAAAAGAAAAATGAGATTATATGGAATGTGTAAAATAAATGCAAATATCATTTTAAATGGGATGAATTTCGTCTAATTTCTTGCCTTCCTCGGTGTGAAATTCTGACGTCAATCAAGTAAATCTGCTCACCCACAGACTGAAACCTCGCAATGTCGAGACGAAACTAATTCCTTTTGCTTTTCTACGGTCTCTTGTGCCGCCCCCAAAAACATGCCGCCCCAGACAGAGAGCCATGTTGAGCATAATGGAGAACCTGCTGTTCACTCGTTAAGTTTGAGGCTTCTTTGAGAATATTTAGGTTTTCTTCCAGCACCAGTTACCAACATGACCCAGTAGATCTCTTCTACTTGATGTACTGATACAAAACTGATACTCAGCCCACACCAATGCAACAATGCAAGATAACTCAGAGGGCAATAAATGTCAGTGTTTGCTCTTTTAGAGGAGAAAATGAGCACTTATGCCCCAAGGCAGAGAAACCTATATAGTAATAATAAAATGATTCTCAACTGTTCCTTCTGTACATATTCTAATAGTTTATTTTGCATTAAGGCAACAATAAAAATAACACACCCAGACTCATCTTTTTAATTATGTGCTGTATTTACAAAAAGAAGAGCAATAGCTCTTTTTTCTATTTTTTTTTTTTTTTTACCTTATTTAAATCGTCTCATGTCAGAAAAAGTTCCAGCTCTTTGCACCAAAGGCTCGAAAATATGTTACAAGCTCAGACCTGGGAGCTACACAAGTTAAATACAGTTTCTATTTATTAAAAAGAAAAGTATTCACCCCCTAGGATGTTTTACAAATTTTACTTTTTTGACAAAAAGAAAAAAAACAAAGTAAATGTTTTTAGTGGAAATAAACTGACTGTGGGAAACTGACTTTTTACAAAACAGCTGATTGCATAAATATTCACCACTTGAAGTCGTTATTTCGTGGACGTCATTTTTGCTGGACTCAGCCAGTTTTACTCCAGTCGCCTTTTCAAAACTCTTCAATCTTCCGTCAGGATACTGAGGATCAGTTGGGGATCGTGTGTCAAGTCCCGACGCAAATTCACTACCAGATTGAAGTCTGGGCTTTGACTAGGCCACTCTGTTCATCTTCAAACCATTTCTGTGTCGCTTTAGCTTCTTAGTTCTCTTGTAGATGAAAACAAATTGCTCTCTGGCATTTCTCAGTCATTTTTCTACATTTGTTTTACCTTCTGCCATTACTAGCTTTCCAGCCACCATGCACATGATGTGAGGTGTTGCGATCTTCCAAACAGTGTCCTGTTTGATGGCTGAAAAAATCCACTTTCACTCATCAGTCTAAAGAACTCTCTTCTACTTGACCATGGAGTCGCTCTTCTATTGTTCGGCAAACTCTATTCAAGCCCAAATATGAATTTTCTTTAGCCGTGGCTTCCTCATCGTCGCTTGCCTGTGCTTTTTAAGTGATGAAAAGCACAGGCAACAGGCGGAGTCTGCCATTTCAGCGGCTGAGGCTTTTTTATATCCATCCCCTGACTTGTACTTTTACTTGCTGGCACCAAATCTGTCAAATTAAGCCAGCCGATATCATGGGGATGTTAAGTGTAGAAGACAGATTGATTTTCTTTTTTTAGTGAAGCCAACTTTTGTTGATCATGATTGATTTGTAAAAGCAATAAAGAGGGCAAAACATCCAAGGAGGTGAATACTTGCTTTTTTATGCGCCGTAGCTTCCATTCTCTTCTGCTGGAGGAAGGCTGACGGCGCACTCGGCAGTGATAATTACAATGTAATCTGATATGGCATCGCAGGGAGGGAGGAGTCCGAACCGACAGTGTGCAGCTGCAACATCTCTCGTGGAGGAGAACGACGGAAGAGGACAGGAAAGACGGAAATGAGCGGGAGGCGTTCGGGGTCGCCACTGAAAAAAGACATTTATTTTCGTAAGTTCCCTCTGCTGGAGACGTGCAGCGGCAGAAGCGGCTGAACCGAGCCTACGGTCAGAGTTCGAGTCCTGCAGTGCAGAGCGGAGCAGTTCCGGTTAAAGCACATACGCACACTTCCTCCGGTTTCATCCTGCAGCATCTCTCAAAACAGACACACACACGCGAATCAAACTTGAGGTAAAGTTTTTCTCTCTCTTTCTCAAAACAGAAAATTGTGACAAAGCAAAAATCTCAGGCAGAAAAAAGGAAAAAAAAAAGTCGACTGCTCAGTTGTTTGTTAGGGTGAAGCTCATTCTCCTCCGAGGCGAAAGCCTTGTCCCCAGTTGTGACGGCCTCCTCCTCCCCCGCCTGCCGCTGGCGGCTCCTGGGGAACCGGCCTCCTGGTCGGAGGAACTCCGAACCCTGACACTCCTCCTCTCGTGTTGGGGAAGAACCGATACCTGGAGGAGGAAAACAAAGAGGCGATTTATTGAACATTCCTTTGCTACGAACAACCTCCTGACCTCCGCCACCAGACGGAGGTCAGAACAGATCCCGGACTTTATTTGGTTCACTGTTGCTTTAAGACGAAGACAAACCGTTTTTATTCATTTTATTCAGAGAAGCATCAGAAAATGAATCATCAAAAGGTAAAACGTTACTGTGACTCAAGAATCTGACACATTATAAATTACAGCGTTAGATGAAGATGTTTGATTTTGAAAGGATGCAAATGACTCATGTTACTCTACACTGCCAAAACTCAACATTTTACCAGGTCTAATTCCAGTACAAATATCTTACTTCTCTTGAAATAAGGCAAAACTAACTTAGAAGTAACTTTTCAGCAAGAAGTAGGAGGAATATTAATGAAAAAAGTACAAAACAAAAGTGAAACAATCTGCCATATTATTCCTCTTGTTCTACCTGCAGACTTCACTTATAACTAGTACTTTACACATCAATATTAGGAAATTCTTGACTTAAAACAAACTCCTACATATTGATGAAAAGTTATCTGTAAGTTAGTTTTGTCTAATTTTAACTGTACTAAGATATTTTCCCCAGAAACTCAACTTGGAAAGATTTTGTGTTTGTGCAGTGTCAGATGCATATTTTCAGGAAGCTGCGACAAAAGCGCTACAGTCCTTTAAAGTTGAATTCGCTCATCCAGCTGACCCGCAACCTGGAGGATTTTACTGTTTCAGCAGGTTTTCAACCGCTAACCTTTTACCACCCAATTTTATTTCAGGCAGAAATTGGATAAAGAATTTCCCTTTTCAACAAAAACCAGAAATGAACCGCAACGTTACGGATCAGCGCGTTTCTGCTCTCATCTTTTGTTTGAACACTCACAAGAACTCCGGCGTGGAGAGGAAGGAGCGTCCGCCCAGGTCCATGGGGTATTTGAACATGAGGAAAAAGTAGAGGTGGCCGACCAGATTGCCTGTCAGCTCATTCACAAATCTGCACAGACGCAAAAGAGAGGAAGACTGAAGAGACCTCACAACACCGATCCGCTGCGACACGTCCGGCTCGTCCCTTTGGGATCCAATAAAACGGGTAAGTTGGTACTTACGATCCTCCGATGATAAAGTTGAAGACCAGGATGACCCAAGGTAGGTAATGTGCCTACAAACAGAGCGCCAGACATATTTAACTGGACGTGTCCATGCGTGCGCCAACGTGAGAGAGAAGTCCCTCTCGACAATCAGCTTCATGTCCGACATGAACGAGGTTGGAGACGCGTACCTTGAAGCGAGTTCCAAACCAGAAAGACACGATCATCTCGCTGTTGAACTGAGCCCAGACGTACAGCACCGACATGATCAGCGGGATCATCAGCAGCTGAAAACGTCAACAAAAGGCGACGCCAAGTCAGGCAAAGTAAACTTTCACGACTAAAGCTCGCAGTTTGTTCCCTGATCTAGAAAACGCTGCAGCATTTCCTGACTGGGACCAAAATAAAGGAGTCTGAGTGACCAGTGAGAACATCCGACTGTGACACAATTAATCTGATTCATCGATTATTGAAATAATTGTCAACTAATTTAGGAAGTGATTAATCATTAACTAAAATATGCAGATTTTAAAAAAAAGTAGGCTGTTTGCTGAAAGAACCAAACACTCAGAGCAGTAATTAAGCCAAAAACTGTATGAAAATGTATACATTTTGTATTTAAGAAAAAAAATTAAGCTGTCTAAATGCATTCAACCCGGAAAACATTGTAGCATTGTTCAAATTGTGAAGAAGAAAAAAAACACCTATTCGACCCAACAGATTAGCAGTATGGTGTGTTGATGTTAAGTTGAGCAGAAATGCCTGAGCTTTCAAGCTTATTGATGTCAAATGTACAGTAAAGGAACTCTATCAGTGAATTTTAGGCAATAAAATGTTGATTTTCTTATTTAAAAAAGGAATCAAATCATTTGTTTATTCGCATCCTTTAGCGCATTTCTAAGATTGCATAAAAAGCCTTCAGAGCTTAAGTGAAAAATATGCAGAATGAGCACTTTCTTTTATTTGATTAATCGATTAATCGTCAAAATAATCAATTACTACAATAACTGTTGGTTATTTTTGTATGACAATAAACATACAAAATGTACCCAAGTCTGATATGCAGCTGTAAAAGGAGCCAAATTGGGTTCTTCTAAGCATTCAATCAAAGGAGATTAAATAAACATGCATGCCACACTTTTCAGATTTGTATCACATAAAATCCAATTACAAACAAACCCAATGAAGATTGTGACTGTATTGTTACAAGAACATTTTGAAAAATTCAAGAGGTGTGCATACTTTTGCACGATACCGAGCAGCGAATCGGTTTTCAGTGTTACCTGGAAACAAGCACTGCATGCTTCAACAACTCGGTACAGTCAAACCTGCATTGTGGTGTAAATACAGCGAGGATTCTTACCCGCATGTCCATAAGCAGTCCAGTTATCTAGAGACGCCAAGTCAAGGACAACAAGCTCTAGGCGGTTTCATTTGCAGCTTCAGGATTAGGGAGAGGGTACTCATGGAGAGGAAAGAAAAAAAAAATCCCCCACTTAAATCCCCATTTCAGCTCTAAAAGCACCTGGCACTCACACTGACCTTGACGTATCACGCCTTCCTGCTGTTTTTACCTGAGGTTATCAAAACTGGAAAATTCATACTCCTGACTTGTGTGACTCAGTCTGGGGTGTCAATTAATTATCACTCATCTCCTGACAAAACAAACCGAGCCGGACTGCAGAGTCGCTGGGTGCTGCGTGTGACCTAGATTAAGTTTCTCCGCTCTGCAGAGGGTAGACTGACACTGGGCCACTGGCGCAGAGCCGCCCTGACATGGCATGCTTCTGCTGCAGAGTGAGGGAGAGAGGGAGAGAGAGGGGGTACAGAGGAGGAACAAAAGCATCAGCGGACCTGTGGAAAACAGGCCAACAAAGCGCTGCAACTTTCAGCGTTCATTCAGTCCTTTAAGATTTTCATTTGGCCACGGCGGTGAAAGGATACGACAATGCAGATCCAGTTGAAAAGGAGCATGAAAACGTAGTCTGCAGGCCGGCCATCAAACGCTCCTAAGGATTGGGAAGAAAGAAAATATCAAAAAAAAGAGAAAAAAAAAGAAAAGAAAAAGGGTGACAGAAAGTGTGAACGGCCCGACAGCCTCACCTGTTTCTAGCCTAGTGGAGTAATGGTAGAGGAAATAAAGGTTGACCAGGTAGAGGAAGCCAGTGTTAGGGGTGATGGGGAAATAAAGGGTGGCTGTCACCGGCCTCCAGAGCTGAAAAAAAAACAAAACAAAACAAAAGAGATGTGGACTCAAGGCGGATCACAAATCATATGTTTTCTTTCATCTCTATCCGTGTTAACAGATCTTTCGCAGCGCTTAAAATATGCTGGAAGGACAGAGCTCTGTGAACAATCCGAGAACAATTGTCGCTAATCGGTTTAGCTATTAACCTGTAAAAATGATTTCTCTTTGTCGCACCGACAATTCCATTAATCTGGGATGAGGCAGCAGCAGCCCTTTGGTCATTTTAGGTTTTACTGATTTCCTACTTGATCTCAAAGAATGGAAACCAAAGTATGAGATAAAAATATGCATATTTATAATTTTGTTTGGTAGCAATACAACTGATAAAAATCACATGACTTACACGGAATCAAATTGCAGCTTAATGGGTGAGATTTAATGCATTTTCCCCCAAGCTAGTTTCAAACTATTCTTTAGCTGAACCATGGCTGACAGCATTGGAGTAGGTTGTAACACCTGTTATAAACATTTTACAACCATCTAGGGAGTATTTTTTTATTATTATTATTTTATTGACAGTGGAATACAAACAGATGCATAAGCTAATATAAAAAAAAAAATAAAAATAAAAAATATGGTGAGATCTTAATATGTTAGTCTGATTTTTGTGTTGTATGTATGGGACCTTTTGGCAACTCCAACCAATAACACAAACCAAACTGCACCACACACACACGTCAGAGTGTCTGAGTTATGATTCTAGTTTATTATTTTCTTGCAAAAGCATGTATTATAATATAGTCTCTTGTAGTATATAATATGTAAATTATGTGTCAGTTTACTTTTAATGTCCATCATGTAAAAGAATATGTGAATACAATTATTACTAGATATATTTTTTTTCTACGGAACAAAAATAATTATGAAGAACGATATTAATTGTTTTTAATGCTGCGTTTAAAAATCATTTTCTGTCTCGGGCACAAATTCAAGCAGAACGTTTTTTGTGATTACTGTCGTACAGTCGCCGCCTCGTGGACTACACCAGAACAACACCCTAAAAATAAACATATTTACAAGCCCTCTAAAACAGACATTTTTATCACATTCGTGGAAAATTTAAAACATTAACTTCACTACTGATAACACTTTAGAATGAGACGGTTCACTGAGTATTTTTGTGTGAGCAAGTCAGGGGATACTTTCAAAGCTTCCGGAAGTTACAACCTACGTCTCGACCTCTGATTGGCTGCAGCAGAAGGCCTATGAGGTTTAGCCAGCTGCTAACAATCCGAACACATAAATAGAACCTCAACAACAACCAACGCTTTAGCTCAAAGAGACAACCACATTGTACTCACCTGGAATCTGCTAAAGACCAGCTCTGGGAACAGCATAAGGTTCCTAAAATCAATCAGTCCTAGTTTACCGACAAAGGGAACAGCAATCGAAGCAGCAAACCAATACCGGGTGATCAGAGGGATGCTTCGGAACCATTCCCCGATGTCTGACATCTTTCCATAGGACTCCTGCCAACCAATAAAGCCGAAACAGAGTTTGCTCTTAAAAAATAACTCAAACTCGCTTTAAAGTACAAGCCTTCTTGGGTTTGTTTGACAGCTGCTCCACAGCTAAGTTAACATGACGTGGCTAATCACTCATGAGCTAGTTTTGCATTTGTTGACGTCAAAAAAAAAGAAAAAAAACTCCGAGCGGTAGCTTCCGGTTCAGATTTTCATAGTAAAAGGCACCAACTGTACCTATAATACCCTCCTGCAAAATCATAACAAATTATATTCAGTCTACTCGAAAATACTGATTGTGAAATTTTCAAACCTTTATTGTCAAAATAATTGTATTATATATATATATATATATATATATATAATATATATATATATATTATATATTATATATATATATATATATATATATATATATATAATACTATAATATAAATATAATAAATACTTTCTACAAAAAAACAATACTTGGATCTGAAAAATAGGCATGACACCACTCTTAATTTGGATGTAAAGAGGGTAGTAGAACCGGATGCTTTTTGAGTACATAATGCCAGATTTTTGTTTATATTCTATTTCCTGTCAAATTTGCACAGCGCCCCCTTGACCATTCAGAGGATGCCAGCAAAAGAAAGAGGCGTGTCGGTGCCAGTCGACTCAGCAACTGAGAAGTATTTTAAACTGCAAGAAGACGATAAATATGGACAAGATCTAGATCGTAAAGAAAACGTCCGTAGAAATGTGTTGTAACACGAGACTTGCTCTCCGTTACGCAGCCTTAGTTTAGTTGCATTTGTTCTTTTCAATATTTTTCGATCTGTTTTATTTATCTAGTGTCAAATTACATCAGTGTGAAGAGAAGTTTAACGTTACTCAATTTCAAGAGGTACTCATGCAATGCAATATTCATTAATGCAATAATTTGGGTAACGTAAATGAAAAGGAATTTAACATCCTCACCTTTTAATATGTAAAAAAAAAAAAAAAACTACATTGTGATGTTACTGACAACAACGCTTACTGGTCACGATTTTGGCCAACACTTTTAATTTCCCATCACCTCAGAACGAGAGCTTCAAAACCATCTCAAATCCTTCACACATTTATAAAATCCCACTCTTGTTTAGACCCCCTGAACAAAATAATTGTATTATATATATATATATATATATATATATATATATTATATATATATATATATATATATATATATATATATATATATATATATAAAATATATATATTTAAGATATAAAACATCTTTAAATATGCCACAGCATATGTGCTAACACAGAAAACATCTTGAAAGCAGAGGTTTTGCAACAAACATACATTACAATGAATAAAACTGAAACTCAACATTTTATGTTAGCATAGTTCAACTAATTAAAGTGTTCAGATGTTTATGAAAGCTCAATAATAATGTAGATATTTTTGAAACCTTTTTGTTCCAGGCTTCCAAGCCAATCGCCTCAAAGAACCACACGTTGAACTTCAACTCCCGTGATTCAACGCCAATGACGTCATCCTTAAGCGACGAGTAACCGTCTTCAAAACAAACATGAAAGCTGACCAACGAGCAGCTGTTTGGCTGTACTTCTGCTCATTTGGTAGAGCTAGGTTGAGCTTCTGTTAGCTTTAGGTTTTTATCCTGACATTTACAAAGTTTTTTGTCGATATTCTTACAGAATAAAGTTCGACTGTAGATTTTGGTTTTAAATTTGGCGCTGTTTGCTCCGCCTCTGCGTTATGGAGGCCGGTTCCCTGTCAGGCCGGGAACTTAAAGAAGTGAGAGTGGATTCTGTTCCAGTGGTTCTTTAATCGGCGGAGACATTTTATTATTATTATTATTATTATTATTATTATTATTATTATTATTATTATTATTGAATGGAGGTGACGGACATTGGAAACAAAGAGGAAGGGAAAGTGTGGCATCGTAAGCCACCGCCCGGCAAAAGGTCAGTTTGAATCTACCTAGGATGCCTCTTTGAAACACCTGTTTCATTAGCAGCGCTCAAGTGCCACTGAGCTCACAGAGAGCTGTTAAAGCAGACATGACAACGGTTTAACGTGGCAAAGTTTCGATTTCCATTCATATGTTATCTTTCCCCTCCTCAGCGTGTTGGCGACAGTGGTCCGCACTGCTCATCAGTCCAAGACGGTGCGTTTCCTCCACGTGGCCTTCGACACCACAGGGGACTCTTTTCTGGCCGGAGATCACCATGGCAACATTTACGTCTTTGACATCACTAGAAACAGGTGACTATCTGGGTCACCTGATAGGGAGGGAGGGGATGCTGCGGAGTAAAACGTGAAACAAAGGAACATTTAAAGCGTCTCACAAAATCAGTCCTTCCACTTGAAATGCTTTGCATTTGTGTCACATTAGGAGTAATCAGTTGGCTGTATGTGTGCAAGGAACACGCTAGATTTGTCAGCGCCACTTGCAGGTGGCCACAAGCAGCAGGAAGGTGTTTTGGTCTGAGGAGATCAAAATTGAAATCTTTTGGTTTGCATGCAAATGAACATTACCCTGAATGCATCATTCCCACTGAAAGACACCCAGAGTTGTGCTGGATGCCTTTCAGCACAACTGGAGGGATGCTTTGCGCTGGAGGGAGCTATGAAAGTGTGTTTTTTTTTTGTTGTTGTTGTTTTTTTCTATAGAACAATAACGCTAAGTTCTTAGAGCCTAGCAACTCGATGTCTAAACATCCCCTCCCCGTTCCTGGACAGGTTCCGCTTGGTGCAGAGGACAGGACAAGCCTGCACTGCTCTGGCATTCAGCCTCCGCAGGACAACTGAGTTTCTTGTAGCTCTGGTTGACCACACCATCAAATGCTTTGACAAAGGTGAGATGGACTCTTCTGAATCTTACATCCAGCAGCAAAACTATCTTGAAGCAAAGACCGAAACATGTCATAAGGATCTCTTCAACACGGCAATGTTTTGTTTTTGTTTTTTTTTCTCTGTCGTGCCATGTGTTTACTTCTACAGACACAAAGCAGCTGGTCAGCTGGATGAGAGGTCACGAGGGAGCCGTCACTTCCATATCCGTCCACAGCTCAGGCCGATACGCCATCACAACATCATCAGACACGGCTCAGCTCTGGGACCTGGACACGTTCCAGAGGAAGAGGAAGCTGAACATCAAACAGTCTGTCGCCATACAGAAGGTAAACAAACAGATGCAGCAAAACATAGTTAGACCCAAGTTACTCATACCTCTGGCAGATTGAGATTTTACTCTAAAGTCTTTTTTTTTTTTTTTCTAGATTTAAATAAAAAATCACAATCAACAATTTTGATGATTCAAACAAGTTTTCAGTAATGGTCTTAAACTTGTCCTTAAATGTTTTGAAACTCTAAAAGTCTATTCAAAGCGTCATTATTTACCGAATCACACTTCACGACTACAGTCATAAACATTCATGAAGACTCCTTCATGTTTATAACAGTGTCATGTTAGTCTTATGGACACCCCTGAAGCTTATTTGTGTGACTCCATTCAGACCCTTTGTAATACAAAGTGCTTCGTAGGAGGAAACAACATCTGATACAAAATCACATAAAAGCATAAAGTCATGCGACATAATTGGATATTTTTTGGAAATTCTAGTGTGAAACTGAAGATAAATGATAAAGCAATTAATGTCCAGCGGTGATTTAAAGGAGTCAGCAGTTTAAGACAGTGGTCTGTTGTCTTTGGCTAATTCAATTGTAATTTCTTGCATTAAGGTGCAACTCAGAGTCTCTCTGTGAGGTTGACGGTTCTGCAGCGACGCTCTTGTTTCCTGTGTTTCAGGTTTTCTTCCTCCCCCTCAGCAACACCATCCTCAGCTGTTTCAGCGACGACTCCATCTTTGCGTGGGAGAGCGACACCCTGTTCTGCCGGTACCAGCTCCCCGTTCCCGACTCCGGACCCAGGATCATTTACAAGGCCTTTGCCGTCACACGGTGGGTCTCCAGCCCATTTGATGAGCTCCTCTCCAGCGTTGCTTGTGAACGTCAGTAAAACCCTGCAGGGTTCAGAAGGATTTAACTTGGGTGTTGTGTCGACAGAGACGGTAAAAGCCTTGCTGCCGGGGGCCGCTCCAACCTGCTGCACCTCTGGTGCCTGGAGAGCCAGCAGCTGGTCAGGGTGATCCAGATGCCATCTCAGGTCCGAACTGTCAGGCAACTGGAATTCCTGCCTGAAAACTTTGATGGAGGAGCCAGCCAGGTAGACCAACAACAATACTTTTTTTTTTTTTTTTTTTCCAAAGATCTTCCTTTTTTTTTATTTTTTTTGACTTTGAGTTTGACATGAAAGTCATCCTCCATCACAATCAACGTTCTTCACTTTGCTTCCACAATTAGAAACCAGGTTAGATTCTGGGTTTGCTTGTCACATCGTGTCCTAATTAAAAATGAAGAGATTTGAGAAAAAAACAAAAAACATCACAGGAAATGAACAACTTAAGCATTTGACATAAATATCCACTAATATTGTAGATTCTAGATTATTTTGAAGCTATTCAGCAGTGAATAAATGTGAATTCAAGCTGATATATTTCAATATGTGTTTTATTGACATGCATTTATTAAAAAGATGTTCAAATTGTTCAGTCATAAACCTCAGTCTATCCTACCTCAGACTATCTAAAGACAAAAATGAAAAGAGGGACAGAAACTCACAGCATAATGAAATTATTCCATGGCAAACTTCCACATTCTTGACCAGTTACTCATTACACACACACACAGACACACACACACACACGGACACACACACGGACACATATAAAAAAGTACAAATTAAATTTTGTTGTTCATATTGCTTCACCTCCTGTGGGATTTCTTTCTTTTCCAGTTTCTATTTTTCTAGACAGGAAAACAAAATGTTCCCTTCAAGAAATATTTTCAAGGTGAAACGCTGATGAGCTGCATGTTCTGATATGATCTTGTGCTGAAGGCGCTCAGATTCACAAAAAGCATGAATGTATTAGAATGGAGGGAATAAGCCAAATGGAGAACTAAATAATTCTGGCTTGATGTTCGGAACGGCCGTCTTATGTTTCCTGAATCAACTAGAGAGAATGGCTTCCTTCTTTTGTGCTTGTGTTCACCGTCTGTTGTATCTTCTCTGCAGTTTTCATGTTTTGTTTTTTTTTTGTTGTCTCCA